CGTAAGGGGGATGGATGCAGGAGTCTGCCACTAGGCTTTGGAGATCTTGGCCACCGTTTTGTTAAATGGGGAGGGCCATTCTAGAGGAGACATCCACGTGAAGGATGTCCACTGTGAGATCAGAGTCATTGGACACCCTATCCGTCTGGACTCCCAAACTTTGGGTCAGACGTCGGAGGAGGCCCTGGTGGGCCCTGGTGTCCATAGAGGCCATGGATGGTTCAGGGTCTCCCAGAGCCTCGTCAAGGAAGAATGATGATGATCCCTTTCAGACTTCTCCAACGGATACCCTTGAAAGTGCCAGATCCTGCTGTGTGCCAGTGACTCCCCGAAGGACCAGGAGACTGCTGGCTGGGGGGCAGTGACTGGCCAGAGGTTGGCGGTCTGACCAGTGGGGTCGCCGAAGGAGGGGCCCGAGGACCCGATGCAACTGAAGCTGACCTGGAAGGGGGGTTTTCCTGGGCTTGGTGATATGCCCAAGGCGTCCAAAATGGCCACTGGGCTGGAAGTTGAGGAGGCCTCGATTGCTGGAGCACCAGTACTGGGACTGGTTGTGTCCATTGCTGCCGGTATGGACGAGGTGGACTATGGTGCCGGGAGCAGTGCCACGAACGTGAGCGATGCCGCGACTGGGACCGGGAGCCCCAAGACCACCAGGTGGATTCCTCCTCGGAGTCAGATGTATAGTCCAAGGTGGACCAGGGAAGAGCCGACACCATCTGCGGAACAGCTACGTGCCTGGCTATAGGCTCCGGCTTCCCCGGGTGTCGAGCTGTCAGTAGTGGCATAGTGGTGTGGGCATTCGGTGCAGAGGTAGGTGCTGGAACGGTGTGAGCCAGTGCCGGGGTATGGTACTGCGGTGCATCTGGTGCCATGTCCTGATGGGGCACCATGCGTAGGGATGCGCTGCTGGTCAGTGCCGCAGGTGGTGCCGGTGGAGCCAGGAGGGGAGGAGAGGGCGGTGGGCCCGGGCCTCTGGTGCTGTTGTCTCGGGTTGTTTTGATACCCGGTGCTGGGATGTTCCGTGTTTCCTGGAAGGTGTTGGAGTAGGGGGCGGCAAGGGGGAAGACACATCTCGAAGAATCACAGTTACGAGGTAAGTAACCGTTCTTTCTTCTTCGAGTGATTGCTCATGTGCATTCCAATTCGGTGACTCCAAAGGAGAACCTATGGAGGAGGGCTGGATGTTGAAGCTACAGAGGAGTGGAGGACCGCCCTGCCTGGAGCAGCATCTTCCCTGGCCTGATGTGTTAGCACATAGTGATTGGCGAAGGTATGGACAGAGGACCATGTCATGGCTCTCCAGATGTCCAGGATGGGAACCTGCACCATGAAAGTGGTGGAAGCTGCCACAGCTCTCGTGGACTGCGCTCTAATGGGTGGAGCTGATACCCCCCCACTAGGGCATAGCACTCCTTGATAAAAGTGGTTATCCAGGAGGCAATCCGCTGTGAGGACATGGGTTGACCCCTTGCCCATTCGGCAATGGCCACAAAGAGTTGCAGTGACTTCCTGAAAGCTTTTTACTTAGAAAGGACAAAACCAAACGCCCTGCGCACATCTAAAGTGTGTAACGGCTGTTCTTTCCCAGACACATGTGGATTGGGGTAAAAAACTGGCAGAAAAATGTCCTGGGAGGTGTGAAAGGAAGACACCACCTTAGGAAGAAAGGTCAGGTGGGAGCAGAGCCTAACCTGGTCTTTAAAAAACACCGTGTAGGGGGGAATCCGAGGTGAGTGCCCTGAGTTCGGATACCCGCCTGGCAGATGAGAGAGCCACTAGGAGAGACACCTTATACGACAAGTACAGAAGGGAACATGTCGCTAATGGTTTGAACAGGGGTCTCATAAGTTTGGAAAGGACCAGGTTTAGGTCCCACTGGGGAATGGGCTGGTAGACATGTGGGTAGAGCCCGTTCAACCCTTTCAGAAACCTGTTGACCACTGGGTTAGCAAACAGTTTTCCCCCCTTCCCTCGGGTGGAAGGCTGAAATGGCCGCCAAGTGAACCTTGATGGAGGAGGAAGAGAGGTTCCGGAGCCTGAGGTCTAACAGGTAATCAAGGATCCAGGGGATCGCAGCTCGCCTTGGGTGTACCCCCTTCTGGGCAGCCCAGATACAGAACCTCCTAGTGGAGGGCTTCCTGCTACCCAATACGACTTCCTGGACCCGCTCTGAGCACTGAAGTTCCTCAGCCGTTAGCCACGGAGCTTCCATGTTGTCAAATGCAGCGAGTGCAGGTCCAGGTGGCGGAGCCTGCCTGAGTCCTGAGTAATCAGGTCCGGGAGCAGCGGGAGGGTCATGGGTCTCTCACATGGCAGGTTGAGGAGGGCTGAGAACCAGTGCAGGGGTGATTAAAATCAGGGATGCCCTGAACTCCCGCACCGAGTAAGACCTTGTGGATTAGTGGGAATGGTGGGAAGGCGTATAGTAGTCCCTGCAGCCAGGGGAGAAGGAGAGCCATGTCCCTGTCCCATGAGGGAGCAGAATTGATGGCACCTTCTGTTCTGCTCTGTGGCAAAGAGGTCCAGATGGGGAGACCCCCACGCATGGAAGATAGAATGGGCTACATCCCACCTCAGAGACCATTCGTGTCCTGCAAAGGATCTGCTCAGTTTGTCCGCCAGGACGTTTTGGGAGCCTGGGAGGTATGAGGCCATCAGGTGGATATCTGCCCCGATGCAAAGTTCCCACAGGTGAATCGCCTCCAAGCACAGGCGAGGGGAATGGGCCCCGCCTTGCTTGTTTATGTATGCCACTGCTGTCATGTTGTCCAATAGGACGAGGACAGACTTGCCCCTGAGATGGGGAAGGAAAACCGCACAAGCCTGTTGGACTGCCCGGAGCTCCCTGATGTTGATATGCAGGGAGATCTCGTCCGCAGACCACATATCTTGAGTGTGAAGGTCTCCCAGGTGGGATCCCCAGCCGGTGTCCGATGCATTTGTGACGAGTCGGGTGGATGGTACCGGCCTGGAAAATGGTACCTCCATGGATATCTCTGTCTGGTTGGTCCACCAGGTCAGTGCAAGGAGGACAGAAGCGGGGACCATCACCATCCTGTCCCATGAATGGACGACTGGTTGTGGGCTCATGATAGCCACATCTGTAGCGGGCGCATGCGCAGCCTAGCATGTTGCACTACATAAGTGCAGGCGGCCATGAGACCCAGGAGGCACATGCAAGTCTGGGTGGTGGTCACTGGAAAGTTCTGGAGCTCCCTTACCGCTGCCTGTATGTCGATAAACCGGGACTTGGGTAGGGAGACTCTTGCCGATGTGGCTCCCACGAACTCTATTAACATTGTGGGCGTTAGGGATGACTTGTCCAGGTTTAACAAAAGACCTAGATCGTCGAAGAGTGTGCACACCATGGTGTTGTGCGTTTGCACTTGCGAGCCCCCCCTAAGGAGCCAGTCATCTAGATAAGGGAACACCTTGGATACCCCTTTTCCTGAGTGCAGCGACTACCAAGGGGCTGTGGAAATACCAAATGGGAGGGCCGTGAATTGGTAGTGGTCTGGGCCCACAGTAAATCTGAGGAATTTGCGGTAGTGGGGGGCAATGGAAATGTGAAAGTAAGTGTCTTTTAGGTCGAGGGCAGCGTACCAGTCTCTGGGGACTAGTCTCTGGGGAATTACGGATGCCAGTGTTCCCATTTTGAACTTTGCTTTGGTGATGAAGGATTTGAGGGCTCTTAGGTCCAAGATAGGACGCAGGCCCCCTTTGGCTTTTGGAACCAGAAAGTAGCAGGAATAGAACCCCCTCCCCCGAAACTCAGGGGGAACGTGTTCTACCACTCCATCGTAAGCAGATTTTGGACCTCCTCTTGAAGCAGAGGCTCGTGAGAGGGGTCCCTGAAAAGGGACGGGGTAGGGTGTTGGGAAGGGGGAGGGAAGTGGAAAGGGATTACATAACCCCTTTCCACTATCTCGAGCACCCAGCAGTCCGAAGTGACCAACTGCCAGGCTGGAGTAAAGTGGGATAAACGGTCCCAGAAGAGAAATGGGGAGACTGGAAGGTTGCCCTCGTAGATTCCGTCAAAACCCCTGACAGAGACCGGACGGTTTGTTGAGGGCCCCTGATTGTGATCAGGGGTTGGGCGAGGGTGATGCCTGTTATCCTGCCATTACCGCTTCTGCTCCTATGGCAGGAGAAGTCAGTAGGCGGACCCCCCTGGGGAGGTCTTCTAGGAACATTCCTAATGGGGAAGGGGCGCTTCACGGTAGCCGGAGTGTGCATGCCCAATGATTTTAGGGTAGCATGGGTGTCTTTCAGGCCATGGAGCCTCTGATCAGTTTGCTCAGAAAAGAGCAAGGAGCCTTCAAAAGGGAAGTCTTGTATGGTGTTCTGAACTCTAGGGGAACCCCAGAATCCTGTAGGCAGGAACTGCGGCGTAAGACCACCCGGAGGCCATTATTTGGGCAGCAGCATCCGTCATGTCTAGAGCCGCCCTGGAAATCATTTTCCCCTCCTAATGGAGAGCTTTGAGTTCTACGCGGGCTGCGCGCACACACCTCATTGGAATGCACATGAGCAATCACTAGAAGAACAACCCTACCCCATGAATACAACCCACTCAGCCAAATGTTTCCATTTTCCACTGTTCCTGTAGCGGTCAAGAGAGCTTGTCCACTGGGTCAAGTGTAAGGCAGCCCATCAACTTGCTGTACCTAGCTCAGAGAGAATTCGGACCCCCCCTTGGCTACAGAGGTTGAGGCTCCACAATACTCCATCAACCACGTTCCCCAGGGATTCAGAATTCAACACCATGCTGTACTCGGCCTGCACGTATCAAGTTGGTTTGCTGGAGGCAGAGATGGGGAGGAGTCTGAGTCAGAAGCGTTTGAGGTTTGCCCATGGGGAGTGACTGGTTTCTTAAAAGAACCTGCCTCCTGTGTGTTAAACAAATGAATGGTATTGGAAGAATATGCCCAAGGCTGTAGCCAGAGCACTCTCAACTGATTTAATATCAACTTCAGGCAGAGGTATCAGCTCCTTACCTTGGCTGTGATAGAGTCTTTGTTTTCCTGCATGTTAGAAATGGCCTCAGCAATCCTGGTGTGAATGGTGCCAATCACAGTGTCTACATTGGATGGTCCATCAAACCGGTCAGCTACCAGCATCATTGAGTCTAGTAAAGCAAGAGAGATGGAGACACGTGTTAAGTACATCAATTTATAGTGCAACTTCAATGTACATACATTTATATGGAGAGGAATCAAGCACTTGCCCCTCCGCAGGTGAAAGAAATTCTTCAGTGACTTCAGGTACTGGTGGGTACATTTTCAGCAGTTTTACTCTCTGAATTTGGCAACATTCAAAAGAAGGCCCTGCTATCCAAGTGCACTAGAAAGGGCACCCCTAGTGCTAGATGAATGCCATAGAAAAGAAACAGCTGTTACAACCTCTCTTTGCAGACTGCCACGACCTTACAAAGTGACCAGAGAACACTTACCATTGGAGAGAGGAATTTGTACGGAAATGTAAAGCAAGGATCTTGATCGAACCCTCCCTTACTGACTACATTCAACTTTCAACCAAGTGCCGCAATGAATGGAACTTCGAGATGGTGTTTACCCGAAGTGACCAGAGAAGGAGTTTATGGGTAATAGCACATGTGTGTGGCTGGCATGGCCAGGAAGGAGAGAGGGTAAAAATAAATCTTGCTCCCAGTGAGTACTTCCCAAGCAGCACCGTGGATGCGGGTGCTCTGGCAGGATACAGAATGGCTAACAAGGGAAAACAGCTGCCTCACAAGTGGTGCAATAGAGCAGAACACATACAGCTAAGCAGGCCAGAGGGGAGGAGAGGTTAGGTAGGGGTGGGTGAAAAGTATCAGCTGCTATTGATTTGGGCACCTCACAAGTTCAGAGGCTGAAATGACAATGGATCTGAGCAGCACTAGAAGCTACTAACTGGATCTGTGCCTTGTTGGATTGTGCTGACAACACAAGCTAAAGCAGAAGCAAGTTTTACACATACATCCAGTGTTGGAAATCAAAAGAACACAGTGCTCAGAAAAGCTGATATCCTGAATATTCAGGGAGACCAGAGTCAATCAAGACCTTACAGGTTAAAGGAATAGGTTAAAAAAGGGACTGTTTGTACACCACCAGCTGGAGGTACAGAATGACTGAAAATTGCCATCCAGTTCAGATTCTTCTTTTGAGAATTGCTGTGCAAAGTCTCCTCTTGATGTTTTTGTCTTTATTAAGAGAAGCCTTTCAGCTTCCTAGAAATGCGGCTCCTGCTTTATAAACATTGTATTGCTCTCTGTGTTTATTTCATTTTATAGATCAGTGAGTGAAATACAGCAGTCTGAAGAGTGAGTGAACTGCTAGTACCGCATGGCTTGACATAATCACAGGTACATATAAGCCGTGCACACACACTCCCTTTTTCCACCCCTGGACATGCTATGCCAATGCATCTCAGCCCTGTTCTACTATATCCCAGTGCTTTCTGAAGCAAGCCCACTGCACATCCAGTCCTGCCATTGCATTTAAATCCTGAACTGCATCCCCTGCGCTCTTTGCTATTTTCCCTGTTTGCATGTTCCAAAACAGCAAATGGGATGTCTCCGGCACTGAATATTACACACCCAGACACAAGAAAAGATATAAAAGTGTAAATGAAGAGTCCTGAGGTTTCTTATGAACCCTGTGCGGTGAGACCATCATAATACAGACTCAGCAGCAATGCCAATTAGCATTGCTTTCATTTCTGACCACATCGTTGGACACAAAAATCTCTCATTACCATGTGTACTGGCACTCTGACCACATCGTTGGACACAAAAATCTCTCATTACCATGTGATTTCAATGAAACTACTCTACTGATTTCAATGAAACTAGACCATTGCATTGCATAAAATCAGACTGTAGAGAGAACAAAATGTTTGGAGTCCCTGTTATTTGCCACAAGGAAAAAATGTCTGTCTCTTCTAAGCTATCTTTTTCTTGCCAATATATGGAGGATCGTATCCGGAGGTCCTTAATTTAAGAGCAACCATTGACTTAGAAGAGACTGAACACGTTCTATTCTAAGTTTTTCTGCTCTACCCATCATCTTGGTATTAGACTGTTCCCAGGGAGTGGTGCACTGTGGTACAAATGATTAATCAGCACGAGTGTGCATTGCCAGCATCATTCACGCCTCACCCTCGTGCATTCTGTACCCGTCACACTTCATGGTGATATTGTTATACAGAACTTACATTTATTTCCATTAATACTGCTTTCTGTGTCTTTAAACTGCAAAGCCAGACTCCACTGTACCAGGACCAAGAGTCCAACTGTCAAGGGCTCAAAGAAAGAACAAATAATGCTTTTATAGTAATCAATCTGGGCCTAATCCAAAACTCTCGTAATCAATGGAAAAACTCCCACTGGCTTCAAAGGGCTTGGGATGAGGCACACACAGCATATGTGGTAACTTGCATAATAAAGGGCTTGAGACAATGGGTCTAGTAACACACACAACTCAGCTGACAGAACGCGGTGCTGAGACAAACAAGCAGACTAGAGCACAAGTTAACAAAAATAACAGTTTGTGCTCAGATCTCAGTTCCCTGTTCCAACCAGGAAAAAGGACAAAGTAGCAGACAAAATGCTCGGAGTCCCTGCTATTTGCCACAGGGAAAACATTTCTGCTACTTGCGCACGTCTATAGTGTGAGATTTGGCAGCTGCATAGTCACAGAATCATAGAGCTGGAAGACACCTCAGGAGGTCATCAAGTCCAGCCCCCTTCCCAAGGCAAGACCAATCCCAACTAAATCAACCCAGCCAGGGCTTTGTCAAGCCGAGGCTTAAAAACCTCTAGGGATGGAGATTCCACCACCTCCCTAGATAACCCATTCCAGTGCTTCACCACCCTCCTAGGGGAATAGTTTTTCCTAATATCTAAGCTAGACCTCCCCTACTGTAACTTGAGACCATTGCTCCTTGTTCTGCCATCCACCACTACTGTGAACAGCCTTTCTCCATCCTCTTTGGAACCTCCCTTCAGGAAGTTGAAGGCTGCTATCAAATCCCTCTTCACTGTTCTCTTCTGCAGACTAAACAACCCAAATCCCTCAGTCTCTCCTCATAGGTCATGCGCTCCAGCCCCCTCATCATTTTGGTCGCCCTCCGCTGGACCCTCTCCAATGTGTCCACATCCTTTCTATAGTGGGGGGCCCAGAACTGGACACAATACTCCAGATATGGCCTCACCAAGCTGAATAAAGGGGAATAATCACTTCTCTGGATCTGCTGGGCAATGTTCCTCCTAATGCACCTTAATATGCCATTAGCCTTCTTGGCTACAAGGGCACACTGTTGACTCATATCCAGCTTCTCTCCACTGTAATCCCCAGGTCGTTTTCTGCAGAACTGCTACTTAGCCATTCAGCCCCCAGCCTGTAACAACGCTTGGGATTCTTCCACCCCAAGTGCATGACTCTGCACTTGTCTTTGTTGAACCTCATCAGATTTCTTTTGGCCCAATCCTCTAATCTGTCCAGGTCACTCTGGACCCTATTCTGGCCCTTCAGTGTATCTACCTCTGCCCCTAGCTTAGTGTAATCTGCAAACTTGCTGAGGGTGCAATCCATCCCCTCATCCAGGTCATTAATAAAGATGTTGAACAATACCTGTCCTAGAACTGATCCTTGAGGCACTCCGCTAGAAATCGACTGCCAACCTGACATCAAGCTGTTGATCACTACTTGTTGGGCCCGACAGTCTAGCCAGGTTTCTATCCATCTTATAGTCCATTTATCCAATCCATACTCCCTTAACTTGCTGGCAAGAATATTGTGGGAGACCGTATCAAAAGCTTTTCTAAGGTCAAGGTATATCACATCCACTGACTTTCCCATATCCACAGAGCCAGTTACCACATCACAGAAGCTAATCAGATTGGTCAGGCATGACTTGCCCTTTGTGAATCCATGTTGACTATTCCTGATCACTTTCCTCTCTTCCAAGTGCTTCAAAATGGATTCCTTGAGGATCCCCTCCATGATTTTTCCAGGGACTGAGGTATGGCTGACTGTTCTGTAGTTCCCTAGATTGTCTTTCTTCCCTTTTTAAAAGATGGGCACTACATTTGCCTTTTTCCAGTCATCTGGGATCTCTCCTGATCTCCACGAGTTTTCAAAGATAATGGCCAAAGTATCCACAATAACATTTGCCAACTCCCTCAGTACCCTCAGATGCATTAAATCTGGGCCCATGGATTTGTGTATGTTTAGCTTTTCTAAATAGTTCCTAATCTGTTCTTTCCCCACCAAGGGCTGTCCACCTCCTTCCCATAATGTCTTGCCTAGTGCTTTTGTCTGGGAGCTGACCTTATCCATGAAGACAGAGGCAAAGAAAGCACTGAGTACTTCAGCTTTTCCCACATCATCTGTCACTAGGGGTATGTCTAGACTGCATCCCTCTATCGGCAGAGGGATGCAGATTAGGCAGGTCGACATTGCAAACGAAGCAGGGATTTAAATATCCCATGCTTAATTTGCATAAGAATGGCCACCTTTTTGCTGACTTAGCATTTTGTCAGCAAAAAGCAGCAGTCTAGAGGGGGATCTGTCAAGAAAGAAAGCTCTTACTACATTTAAAAGGTAGAGGCACAGTGGAGATAACGAGTGCCCCACCCCCATTATCAACTAATCAACTAGTTGACAAAAATTCCATCAACTATTCGATTCGCTGATTAATCAAAATATAACATCTCTCGTTTGGATGCATTTTATCATCAACTCGGAATTATTTTAGCTGCTTTTAAGTGTAAAGAAGAACTGAAAAAATTGCTGTCGTATCTCCATTAAAATGCTTTTCTTTAGTAAAAGCCAACAGTGACTTTGCTGTAGAAAGTTAAACATGGTATTATTGCTTTTTGGTATTTTTTGAACACTCTGCCCCAGCCAAAGATCGGCACTTTATGCTCCTGCTCCTGTTTAAGAGAAGAAACATTTTTCAAGACAACTTTTCTGAATAATTTTAGCTTGTGGTTGCATTAATTCTGAGGACAAATGTTGACAGATGAACAGAAATCCCCAAAGTTGTTGATAAAATTCAATACATCACTCATGGTGAAACATTTCCTCTAACTTCACCTGCCCTAATCTGCCCATACAATATAGT